AATTTTATCAAAATAATAAAAAATACATTTTTTATGTACATTCCAACCAACTAACCATTTAATTCAAAATTTGTTTATATTTTTCATTTTTCATGCTTTTTAAATTATCTTGTTCAACAACTGTTCAACAAACTTTTTTATACGAATGTATGTGTTTGCATGTTCCCTATAAAAAAAAATCTCCATTTGCTAATATTTTATAGCGTCTTAATTGTAGTTTTCATATTTTTATTACGACTTTTTCACATTTTATTACAAATTATATTCGAAATCCATTAGTCATACACACAAAATGCATGTCGARGTGTCAAATTTAGTCATTAACGAGATAGCCGTACACACAGCACAATTATATACAAATATATTGCCAGCTGCTTTATGAGCCTTTATATCCACATGCATATACTCTATACTCATATATTTTATCAATAGGTATTAGCAAATCATAATGGATCAATTTTAGGTGCAAATTTTTTTTWWTTTTTWTTWTTWTTWTTTTTTGATTTACTGCWGTCCTAAAATCTAAATTGCGACATATGTATACATACATATAAGTAATTTTRAGTTTTTTATTGTTAATTTTTTATATTTTAACTTGGTTCTAATTAACACTCGTAAGGGTTGACCCATATTTTTCAATTTCCTACAAAACTACAAAAGTTTAGTGTAAATTTACAGTAATTTGTATTTTTTTTATTTTTTTTTTTTTGCTTTTTCGTAAATTACTATACTTTCTTTTAATAAATAATTTTACAATATTTTATTTTTTTTGCATTATAGAAAATAAATATTTTAAAATATTTTTGTTTAATTTTTTCTCTATTTATAAAAAAAATTTTGTTTAATATTTTTTCTGTATAATTCTGAGCCGAAGCTGAAACTTTAGTAATAAAATATATTGCATGTGTCTTAAATACATCAAATTCACATTGACCATGACCTCTTTCTACAAACCAGCCACCTTGACCTTTCTCTGCTTTTTTTTTTTTTGTTGACGACTGAAGATTCCGTGTAAATATGCGCTGTTCGAATTAGCATTTTTTAAGTTTTGTCCTAAATTGGCTGAATATAATTGTCTTATATCTCAATCAAGTTTGTGCTTACTGCATGTAAAAATGTATTTTTACTGTCGAAAATAATTTGTGTTGCAGCGGAAGCACAACAACGAGTTATATGGCACAGTAAGAGATGGGAAAATATATTGGACCACGGTAGATAATATTTGAAAACAAAAGATCATATCATAATCAAAAAAAAAAAAAACAAAAATGGAWGACACTTATTGGAAATTAAAGATAAAATATGAAAACTAAAGGAAAAATAGTTTACCGGCGATAGCTCAATTTTTAAGACTAAAAAAAGCCTAACTCGACTTCTGACCAAACTACGAGTCCAATAGAAAAAAGTCGTATTGCAAACTTGTAGGTAATGAAAAGATCTAAACCCTTTGTAACCACACAATTTATGTGAAAATTTGAAATATTCAAATATTGGATTTTTTATTTTTATCTCATCCAAAAAWTTTTTTGCCCAGGAAATCATGTTTCAAACACTTTTATTTTCTATWTAAAATATTAAGGAAAATAAAATCAAATTTGCAATCAAAATTTTGCACTTAAAAATGTGAGATTTTTCTTTAAAGTCAGCTGCCTTTGTTGAAATCTCTACTTTCTGATGGTATACACATCTACTTACATTATTTATTATATTACATACTTTTTTTTACGACCTTTCTCTAGCATTGCATAGAATCTTCTTCAAATAATACATTTATCAYAAAATATAAACCCAACTACATGTTTCCTACATTTTCAAAATTTTTGTTGTAGAAATAAACATTTAAAAAAACAAAAAAAGGAGTTTGAAATTTTTCARGAATCACGCTTACAATGACTGCTTCCTTGTTATCATATCACAAAAAGATCTATTACGTTGCATGCATCAAATGTTTCCGAGAAAAAAATTCCGTAACAAAAAAAATATTATTACAAAATAATAGCAATAAAGTAACAGTGTAAATAGAATATGACCAAGACGCACTGGGTGCGTGCGACGCGCGCGCCGTCAACAAGCCGCAACAGCAACAGCGACAGCCCACAGACGGCATTCAAACGCGCGCTAATTAGCCGCCCAGTTGGCGAGCGCTGCCGCTAGAATGCAATGGCAGCAATTATGTAATAAAACTTTTAATCAGACAATTTGAGTGCAGCGTACAGCACAGAAACTGTTAGCGCTTTTGTTGTTTTCATTTTTTTGTTTTACAGAGAAATCAAAATGCAATGGAAATCAAGAATTTGCCCTATCTATTATATTATATTATATATTTATATGTGTAGTTCGGATAATTATATGTATTACTTGAAAAAATAAAATAAAAAAATTTTAAAAAAAATATTGGCAACTCTACTATATAGGCTACTAGATGAATATTTTTCCGCTTCAGAGGCAATATGTAGCATATTTACCGTTTTCACTCTCTTCAGCGAGCACGCAACACTCTCCAGCTGTGCTCTACTTAATAAATATATCGCGAGTAAAAATTATAAAAATTAGAAAAAACAAAAGCTAGAACAAGAGATAAGGCTACGCCTCTATGCACCTACAGTGGGCGGTTTGTTGTGCTGAGTTGGTTTTATGATAAATTGCGACAACACATGTGAATGAACTGTAGGTGAGTTATTCAGGCGAATATGTGCGACAGTAACACATGTGATATGAAGGCGATAATTTCGTGTTGAGTGCGCCGAGGGCCCGACGGCAAAAATACGGCCTAACCATAAAACTTATTTACTAATAAAAAAGTATATGGACAATACCAAAAAAATATGTATACACATATATAAACACATATGCATATATGTGTATACATATATATACACATAATTGCCTATTAGTCCATGAAAGCCGTGGTAAATGCATCCGTCAGCCGATTGCTCAGTCAATTGGTCACCGGGTGCACAGTTTGGTCGGTGGTTAACTGACGCAGTGTTGTGTATGGTGCAGCGAATCGTCAATATGACCTTGCAAGCAATGCAATACGCTCGTTAAAACTACCTYATATGTATATATGTAAATATATATCAAAGTGCTGTGTAAGTGCAATGCAAAAAAGTAGCAACAAAAAAAAGAAATTGTAAATGCAAACCTTTGGTTGCAAAATTGAAAGTCGCTGTTGAAGCATCAGCTGGTGTTGACAATGAAAGTGAAGGAAAGGCGTTTATTGGTGCGTTGTTGCAAGTGTTTAGTAAAAATTTATTTCGGAAAAAAATTGTGAAAAATAGCAGACCTCTYTCTAGTGAAATTGCTTATCAACAGAACTTTCTTACGTGCTATCATGTTTGTTCGTTGAGTCTTACATACACAACATACACAAAACAACAAACAAAAAAAACCAAAACCATATACTGACTTATCGCTGACAGAATGAGTACTTTATATCCATTTCACTGGGAGGTAGTTAAAGTGAGTAAAAAATTGAGTTAAAGTTTRGGTTTTTGAAGACTGAAATATATATTATTTAGCGATATTTTAAAGTTTAATGCTTTCGAGCATATTATCACGATATTTTTATACATTTTTACGAAACTTCACTGAGGTTACGCTTTATATATCWTGTAATAAATTTCTATATTTCTCGATATTTGTCCATATTATCGATATTTTCACATTCATTTGAAAATTTTCTGCCGGGAAAAAAGTTTTCTCATATTTTCTTATTATTTTGTAGAAATTTTGATATCTATCGATATTATCCATACTTTTATCGCTGTTCCACAAAGAACTGTTGCCATATTTTTTATTATTTTACTAACATTTTCAGTTTAGATCTAGTATTTTATATCGATATTGAGAGAATTTTCAGTTCATGAGAAATTTTTTCCTTTTTCTTTTGGGTTAGCTGCTAAACAAAATGACCTATAAATTTTGTTAAAACTATTGATAACTCTAACTCTCTTCTCTAATACTCAGCTATACGATAAACCCAATTTTGATATTTTCATCGAAATTTTTTTTTTGATATTTTGAGTTTTGTTATATTTTCTTAATATTTTGCCAACTTAGCGACATTTTCAGTTTAGATCTCGTAATACTTAGTTATTTTATGTTTTCTTTTCTATTGACGCGCACTTTGTATTTACCTTTTTGGAGACAGCTAGAAGAAATTACCGATCAATTTCGTTAAAATTATAGATACTTACGATCCATTTCGATAAATTAATATTTTTCGATAATTTAAAAATCTCTTTACTCAATATATCTTTTTCTAGTATTTAGTATTTAGTCTAGTTTTCCAGTATCTAGATTCAGCTAACTGAAACGCCCAAGAATTTTCGATATTGKTATCGATATTTTTCTTGATATTTTTTTATCGGAAAGTAGGCCAAATTACTTAGGTATTTGAACTAAATATTTGCAATATTTTTCCTTTAATCTAAAGCGCATCTAATTCTTARCTACATATTTAGCACTAATAATTACAATCTATATTAAAAAAACTATAAAAATCAGAAATTGCTGAAAAAAGAAGTATCTAATGCAAAACAGCCGGCATTCTGAAATAACTAAATGCTAATTAGTTGCGCTCAACATAACCTCGAATGTGATTTTCTTAGGTTCTTATGTTCAGAACAATATAAAAAAGCAAAACAAAAATCCAACTTAACCTCCGAAAGTGTGACATAACCTAACAAGTAGTAAACATAATGAAGCTGCGTCTTTTAAGACATTTCCCCTTCAATTTTACAAATTTGGTCGTACCTAACGCGATTGATGCGACTTTTGTGCCGCATTTCCGCAAACTTAAATAATTGTTTGTGACACAAAAACAGTTAGAGAAAAAAGGCGCTTGTCCGTTGTAGTGGTTTTACTATAAAATGCCAAAAACCTTCTTAATTATGCACACATGTGTCATTATATTGGTGTAGGCGTTCAACAGTTATAGACATATGATTTTATGAGTGTTCATATGTATTAATATCCGCACAACAACCCCCCGCCATGGCCAAATGTTAGCACCAAATACGACAACAAACTATCAACATTGACTTTTAATCGCACTTTTATGCCACAAATGTGAATGACTTCGTTCATATATTTTTCTGTTGAAGTGCCCAATCAACGCATCGACACTTGGCACTTGATGAGAAGGTCAGTCCGATGTTGGTCACATAAATAAATAAAAAATGTCAAAAACATGCAATAATAGCACAACAACACTATAAATTTATAGCATGTTTTATGTTTTTGCTTTATTGTTGCTGAAAATAGTGTTAGTTGATTGTGGGTTGATTGTGTATGTGTGTTCTAATATGTCATTATAGAAATTAGGAAAAATGAATATATGAATTTAATTTTTTTTTTTTATTATTATTTATTGTTTTTTAATTTTTTTTATAATTTTTTTGTAAAGTCACGAGCTACGTTTCAACTACACTCTTATGATGTTTACTAAATATTTACGCCAAAAGTGCATGTCATTGATTTTATTGGAATTTTTACAAATCTTGCTATATATATGCTTGTATACTGCAAATGCAAAGATTAGTAATTGTGGAAAAAACATAATTTATTTTAACAAAAGAAAGCATTGAATTAGATGACTTGGCGAATTCTACAAAAAAACACACTACATAAGTCAAGCGTTCGTAGTTCAGGGCCCACACACAGCTTAAACAAATTGCTTGTTGTTAAATTAAAAACTTGTGGCTGCATTTTATCGATGTTATTCACATGTGTGTAGTGGAATTATGTGAAGAATTGAGTTAATGCAATTTCATTGAATTGACAAAGTAGCAATGAGAATTTGTTTGAATAATTTGTTTAAGTGCAGAGCTGACAATTTTCTTTAATGGTAGAGAATAAAAAAATTAAAAATAAATTTCAAAAAAATTTTAAATAAAAAAAAAGTAAGAAAAAGATAAAACAAAAAAATCTTTAATTTCGGTTTCACAGAAGCTATACTCTACAAAAAAAAAAAAAAAATTCTTATAAGAACTTGAATTTGAACGGTCAGTTTGTATGACTGCTATATGCTATAGTAATCCGATTTGAACAATTTCTTCAGATATTGCATAACTGTTTTAGATAATGATCCACGCCAAATTTTCTGCAAATATATCGTTAATTAAAAAAGTTTTCCATACAAGCACTTCAAACCTACAGTTCGTTTGTATAGCAGCTACATATATGCTATAGTAGTCCGATGTAAACCATTTATTCAGGTATTGCATAATTCCTTTAGATAATGATCCAGGCAAAATTTCTTGAAAATATCTCGGTAACTAAAAAAGTTTTCCAATACAAGAGCTTCATTCCAATCGTTCAGTTTGTATGACAGCTATACGCTATAGTGGTCCGTTAAGGGCAATTCCAAAAAATGCTTCTTGAGTAGAAAAGAAAGTGTGCAAAATTTCAGATCGATAACTCTAAAGCTGAGGAACTAATTCAGGTATATACAGACCGACAGGCAAACATGGCTAAATTGACTCATACTGTAAACTTAACATATTCTGTTCAGTGTATGAAAAATTATGCAAGCAGTTAGAAAAACAATTAATTTAATATTTGTTAATATTTTTTGCTTATTCAAAATAATCTCATTTGCCGCCATTTTCATATCAAGAAAAAATATTATTTTTCCTCTTTTTAAATTCAATCATTCCATCATTTAACAGCTCATAAATTAGCACAATACACCCATGTGGTGTACCACAAACCATTTGAGGTGAGTTATGCGCTCATAAAGTATGAAAAGTTTTGAAGCTTCTCCGACTAACTGCACCTGAGCGTGATAAATACGCCACTAAACCGCAAGTCAAAAACAACGTGCTGACAATAATTACCCGCCTTACAATTAAATGCACCAAGGCGCCTATTGCAACCACAAGCAGCCATTAAGTGTGGCAGTGGTGGCAAGTCGCAAGTGGCAAGCGCAATCACATATTTCATCGCTCCGCGCGCGGTGGTTTTTCGTGCTGCTGAGCGACGATTGACCATTGGGTGAGTGGCAGTGACAAAGCCAAGCAGCAGACGCAGCAGCAGAAGCAGCAACAGCGCCGCAAGCACACAAATCATACGGACAGGCGGCGCGCATGCGCACATTTGCACTAATTACTTTCGGTAGTTTTTTCCATATTTTAACGCCGTTGTACGTAGTCATGCTGTAATGCACCGCCTTCGTTGGCATGTGCTTGCCACATATCACCACTACATAGTAGCTACATATGTACATACATACATACATATGGCACAGTAATTTGTGGCCAACGTTCTCTTGCTTACCTCGAGCGGATGATTTGCTGCCTTTTGGCTTTGTTTACTTTTTCTGTTGTTGTTGCAGCTGTTGTTTTTGCGCTCTTGCGTTCATATTACAACCAAAAAGTGCATTTGACCTAATTACAAAACGTAAGATGTTGCCATTGCGCGCATGCGTGCTTCCATGCATGGTGCAGTTGCGTTGTAGTTGTTGTCTATGCAATGCTGACACTCAGAAGGACAATGTGCAGCACGTTACAATGCGCATACAATGTAAGCCATTCACATTCCCGGTATATGGTTTATGAGTGGAAGTGTAAGGCAGTTAAATGAAATGTATGAAAGTTGGTATGCAACTAAATATAGATATATTATGATATAGTATATAGCATACATAAAGTTCGTTATGTTTGTATTATAAAATAAATTTGAATTTTTCTGCGCAAAATTTGCACTTTATCAACTTGAATACTGAACTAGATATGTAGTAATGTTGAGCTGACAGTGCGTATGAGTAATATTTCTCTTTGGTTTTAGTTCCATATTTCCTATAAATGCAAAAACAAAGGGAGTATTGTATAAAAATTATATGTAACACTATTATATTCATTAATGGTAGAGAAATTAAGGTTGGGTGAAGATTAGAGGCTTCTAAACTCTAAGTTGTTCTGAGATCAATGTTCGGAGATTCTACCGTTGCCTTTGAGAAAAATTTATATAAAAAGTCGTAAGCATATACTGGTGTGATGCTAACTGCACGTACTTATATATAGAAAAGTTTTTTCTGTTGCTGTTATTCGCCCATCGTCTGGAAATGAACCATTTTCGATTGCATTTTTGACTTGAAATTACTCTTCACGTGACATATCTGTTATAACATTCTCCATTTGAAAGCTGCAAAATTTAACATAATAATTTGCAGATGCCACACAAATTCACAAAATTGGCGCTCACTCCATTTCAACTTGACCCACCAACTTCAATACAAATATAGACACAAAACAGTGAAAATCGCATAAAAGAAAATTATAGTGTGAAGTAAAGCAAACTACGGCAATAAATAATAAAATACAACAACAGTAATTAAAACAGGTCGTTTAGATTAGTGAATTATGCCTGCGCACACAAACAGACAAGTACGCATATGAAAAAATAATGGCGTATGTATGTGTATGAGTACTTTTATGCCCGACCATACATAACCGCAA